TTCAGGGTAAAGTCCAAGTCCACAGCTCCAAGCTAGTCCTTCCTAATCACATCAAGACCTATTGACTAAGCTTATCTTCCATTTCTCCACCCATGCACTTACACAAAAGTTAACTGGCCCATCTGCAGTTCCCCAAGCACAGCAGCTTAGTCACCAGGTCTCATGTCACCTCATGAGGGGACTGGTCAGCCCCAGCTTATAGGTAAGAAAATTCAGTTAAGAAAAGGTAGCTCCAGAAATGGCAGTGCACCTGCCTTTTCTCCCTGTCAGTTCTTCAACTGCTGCTCCATCAACACCCTGCTCAGGGGCCCACTCAAGTCCCTACCCAGTTCTGCTGTTTCTGCATTTTCAGTTCTACCTTTGGTGTTTCTGTAGCACTTCGTATACTCTTACAAGGAGAAATGATCACTACCATCATTTTAATTTTTTATACTGTGGAGACAGGGTCTCAGATTGTAGCCCAGGCTGGCCTGGAACTCAGTATGCAGCCCAGGCTGACTTTGAACTCACAGAGATTCTCCCACTGTGGCCTCTCAAGTGCTACCACACCTGGCAAAGCATACTTATTTTTACTCAAAGACAGCTTTGCAGCAAACAAACAAATGAACAAACAAAATCTCTTTGTTCCCCATATACATGCAGCAAGTGTTGACAGACAGGGTACCGTGACCATGAGTTAGGTGTTCTTTGCCCACTGGGGTTTTATTTGCTCAGGTTCCATCCTTAGTCCCTGTCCACTCTCGTCTCACCCAGATCATCTTCAGGCTCTTTGATAACAAACTGGCAGTTTTCCTGCTGCTCCCTTTCTTTCAAATTCTTTTCTCTACCAATGGTGGATTATTTTCTGCAAACTGAAGCTCTAAGCCTAGCTTGTCTCTGTTCACAAACACCCCTGGCTCTTCAGTGTTAGCCAAGTACTATAGATTCTCTGTGTAAAAGTTATGAATGTTGGTGGCCTGACCCTAATGACTTCATCTTAACCTGGATCATTCTGCTACATCAAACCAAAAGGCGCTACTTCCTGAAATAATACCTGTCCAGGCTACCGCATCTTCCTGAGAAATCCCACTTCTTCCAATCAAATGTGGTTACCTTATTAAGTCTTCACTGAATGGTACCAATTTTGAATTAGGTAAGAACCACAATTCTTTTGAAACCCACAGCATTTTGCTTTACATCTTTTGTGGGATTAAGTTCAGCGTAGATAATTTGGATTCACATACAGTCTAGGCATCACTCATGTTCCTTATCAACCTATACCTTACTGTGGTCTCCTGGACTCCACAGAAGCAAAACAAACTGGTTTTAGTGTGTCACTGAATTGACCATATCTAACAGTGGTTATGATATACCAGAATTTAACTCTTGTCCATTAAAAAAAAAATTGGGCTGAGAATGTAACTCGGTGGAGTGCCTGCCTAGCATTCATGTGCCCTGGGTTTGAGCCACAATATCACATAAACAGGTGCGGTGGTTCTTGTCTGTAATTCTAGCACTTGGGAGGTGGAGCCAGAAGGATCAGAAATTCAAGGTTTCATAGTGAGTTCAAGGTCAGCCTGGGATAAGTGAGACCCTGTCTCATAAAAAAATTAATGTGATACCAATCTAATTATTTGATCTCTCTCTCCCTCTCTCTCTCTCTCTCTCTCAGCTTACTGTAAAACTATAAATACAGTATTATAGCCCAATTCTTCCTGTTTTAAGAAGGTATACTGCTTTAGGATAGACAAATTATCAAAAGGGACAGAGATAGTCACACAGTGGTGTCCAGCATTAAGATGGTAGCTAACTGTTCATTAAGATGCCAAACATTTTATATAAGTGATTACAACTCCCACAATGCTACTAGATTAGACAGCTATTTCATACTCTACCCTGGGGATAACTCAGGCCAAGAGAAGTTCAAGGTGTCCAAGTTTGCCAAGGTTAGGTATCTTCTGAATATAGCCATAAACTCACCTAACTAGAAGCATTTTCAAAAGACTTAAACTCACCACAGTTTCGAGGAAAAGTTGGTACTCATTGCTAAGAGCCAATGACTCCACTGCGCAGGAAGAAGGGCAATGTCCCTTTTGGAAACTCTGTATTAATCTAAACTTGGGTGTCTGTACCTTTCTAGGGAACAGGGAACATTGTTGAAAAGTAAGTGTCAAATGGCCCAAGTTTTATTTTGAGTGTTGGGGATAGAATTCAGGGCCTGGAACATGATTGGCAAGCACTCTACCACAGAGTGATAGTCTTAACCCTTAAACTGTATATATGTATTTATGGATTGGCTTTTTAAAGACAGGATCTTACTATCTAGCTCAGGCTGGCCTTAAACTTTAAATCCTCCTGCCTCAGCCTCCCGAGTACTGGGGTTACAGGTCTGTGCCAACACACCCAGTTTCTAAACTGCAGTTTTAAATGAAGGAATAATTTTTAGGGACCTGTTGGCAGAACACTATTGTTACAGTAAGGCTCACCACTAGGTGGCAGGACAAGGCCATATTTTCTAAGTAAAGCAGCATGACCACCCCCCCACCCCCCCACCCCCGGCCAGCTCCTTTACATGGTAATAGTCTTGCTAAACTGTCTTTGAGACAGTGTCCAGTGTCTTATGTAGCTGATGATGACCCTGAACCTCTGATTCTCTGGAGTCCACTTCTCAAGTTGAGATTCCAGGGCATGCAGGTTTATACAGTGCTGAGGAAAAAAGCAAACCCAGCATCCTAGGGAAGCAATCTATTGAGCTATACCCCTAGTCCCAAGTTCCTATCTTTAACATACAGAGCCCACCAGACTTACTCAAATCCTTTATTAGGGAGGTAAGGCTCCAAACAGTGGGGCAGAATAGTGTCTGCTAGAGGGAATGGTATACTTTGTCTCACCAAGGTTACAGTTTGAACGTTTAATGTCCTTCAAAGGTTCATATATAAAAGCTTGGTCCCCTGGGCGGAGGTTCAAGAAGATGCTGTGGACCTCTATGAGGAAGGGTCTAGTAGGAGGTCCTTAGGTCACTGGGGCATGTTCCTGGAGAGGATGGTGTGACCTTGCTGATCCCTTCCCTTTCTGCCTCCACTCTTGAGATGTGACACTCACTCCTACACTGACTCCTGAGGGATATGCTACCCCTGCCAGAGGCCAAAACCAACAGGACTTCCCAGTTTGGGATCTGAACCAGGAGCCAAAATAAAACATTTATTTTTTTGAGACAGTCATACTATAGAATGGTTACAAATCCATAATCCCACTTACATTTCCCAAGTGCTGGGGTCACCCATGTGTGCAAATACACCCAGACAACCCAAATCTGCCTTTGCACTGTAGTAGCTAGTCTGTGTCAGGTACTAGAGATATAAAGCTGATGAATATGCTGAGAGAGTAAAATCTTTGGCCAATAAAAACAAACACGAAAACAGAGTCAGCAAATTGGAGTTCCTTCCCAGGGCTAGTCTGTGTCTTACATGTGCTCCACAATACTTTTAAAAATATACGCAAGTGATTTTTAATACAATAAAGCTCTGAAAGACAATCTGGCCCTTGCCTAGAGTAAGGCATTGTCACTTCTCTGGACGCTCAGGGATCCTTGAAGATCATTTTGATATCCCAAAAGTAAGTCTACTTCTAGGTCTTTCCTAGATCTAGATGTCTCTGGGTAGCAAAGGTTAAAAAAAAATAGACAGTTGCCAGACATGGTGGTGTGGTACACACCAATAATCCCAGCACTCAGGAGGATAAGGTAGGGGATTGTGACTTTGAGGCCAGGCTAGGCTATATAGCAAGATCTCAAATGAATAAATAGAATCAAATAAAGGACAAACAAAACAAAAAACAACAGTTGGTCCACAGACTGTCATGGCTTCTTGCAAACTTAGTGTGCAATCATTCATCTGCAGATATTCAGAAAAAAACAAGGTGTTCTCTAGGAATTGCTTGGAAGCAACAGTTGCTAGGGGGTTATTTCCCATTTCAAGCACCAACTCACGCCTATAACGAAGTCTAGAAGTATATATGACAAATGATTTACAACATGTGCACGTGGATACACTTCTCATCTTTTAGCTGTATACGGTGGTATTACCTAATACACTTATAAAATGAGAACTACAGTGAGACAAAACTGGGTCTTTAACAGGATGTAAAAAGAACATTGCTCTTGCAGCTCTGACAGGTATTAGCTGATTTGATTCATGAGATGCTAGGAGCTCTCTAAAAATAAGTACAATAACTATCATAAAAATCTCCAAACAAGCATCATTTATGGTGTGACAGGCACTGAACTGCATGCTTCTAACTCACAGGAAATAAAAGACTGAGAACATGTAATAATCTCTTAACACAAAGAATTTCATTTACAAGGACTCTATTAGAAACAATATAGCAACAACTTAAAATACAAAGAAATGGGTAATGAAATCCTGGAGAACTAGTCAACGCCATGAGTTTCTCATCCCCAGAATCTACTGGCATGTGGTAGATCCTCAATAAATGATGTGGTAGATGCTACATCAAGGAATCACATTCATTACCAATGTCTTTTTTTAAAATTTTATTATTTTTATGTGTATGCATGTATTGCCTGCATGTAGGTAAGTACACCCATGTCATGCAAAGCCCACGGATGACAGAGAGGCTGTTGGATCCCCTCGAACTGGAGTTACGGACAGTTGTTAGCTGCCATGTGGGTGCTAGGATTCAAACCTGGGTCTTCTGCAAGAACAACCAGTGCTCTTAACCGCTGAGCCATCTCTCCAGCTCAATTACCAATTTCTTTAAACAAGATAAAAATTACCTTCTGGGCCTTATACATGCTAGGCAAGCACGAACCACTGAGGGACATCCCTGGATGTCTGAACTTGATTAACGAATTCAGTAACTCCTATCTCTGCAATTAATCTACATGATTAGTTGGCATGGAACCACCAGTCTTTGGAAGTCCCTGAGTGGCAGAGCAATCCTGGACAAACACCCCTTCTGGGCACTGTCACCCACCAGAGGGACCCAACCTGGATCCTTACCTCTACCTTTCTCTCCTCTGGATTAACAGCCCCATCGAGGATCAGGCGATGACAGGTGTCACCACTGTCTGTGCCCTCATCACCACCCATGGTGTGCACAAAACCCTGGAGGGACACAGGTCCTGGCTGCCTGTGAGCAGCATTTTCCGTCCTTTCTTCACTGTCCACTGAATTCAGGGATAGCACACTCAGACTATTGGGGCACTTAGTGCTTCCTGGGCTCTGAGGGCTCTGAGGGCTCTGGGGCTTGGGTGTGGTGGGCCTCAGAGGGGTGGGAGGCAGCACAGGGTCAACCAGAAGCTGGCTGCCAGTGTTCACCTCATCAGAGGTTGGGCTCAAACCTTCTGGGTCAGTGGTACTTGATGAGGGGCTCCTGGCACAGGGCCCAGCACTTCCCAGCAGCCGGGAGCTTTTGGTTTCCAGGGGGAATACAGATGTGTCGATATCCAGGCATGGTTCTGCGGGGGGCACTGAGCTGCAGCCAGGGGCCACCGTGCAGGGCGCATCCCTGCAGGGATCTTTAGTGCAAGGAGCAGGGATGCTAGGTGCAGATGCCACGCTGCGCCTTGCATCTGGCTCCATACAACTGCTGGCGCGGTGTGAGTAGTCCTCGTGCAGCCTGCTGCGCAGTCGCAGTGAAGGATTTGCTTCAAGTGAGCCCGGGGCTGTGCTCTTGGGAGCGTCTCTCTTCCAGGTGGCGTCCTTGACGTTGCTCACGAGTTTGAGGACTCTGTCGAAGTCCTTGGCCCGGATGGGGCTCCTCCAACGTCTGGTCCTTCTCTCTGGGCATCCGAGCTTCTCGGAGTCTGCGGACGAGCTGCTCAGAGTCCTGGGGGGCACCTGCTTGTCGCCAGCACCAATGAGCTCCGCGAGGTTGGATGTGGACTTCCGCTTGAAGGAGCTCTTTTTCAGGAAGCTCAGGCTGTCCGTGCTCTTGCTCCTCCGCTGCAGGATGCCACTGGGCTCTGGGTCCCTCACTAGGATCTCGCACAGGCCGGGAGACGAGGGCCCCGCATGGCTCTGGGGGGCTGGCTGTCGCCCCAGGTCCAGCAAGCTGATGCGGCCCAGGGCATACGCCCTGCGGATGCTGCGCGAGCGGTGCGTGCTCCTCTGGAAGGCATCCTCGGTGTCCTCAGGGTCGGAGCAGTCGGACCCAGGCCCATCCCCTGCGGGTCTCAAGGACGAGCACCTGCCTGGATCCTTTGCCAAGATGGAACCGTTGGGAACAGCCCTTCCCGGGTCGCCTTCTGCTGGGCCCTCCTTGGCAGCATCTGCTGCCTCCCGGTTCTGAATTCCTTGAAAGACTGAGGACTTCAGTTTTTTAAAAGATCCCATTTTGCGAAAGGAGGCCAGGGCATTCCATGTAGAGGAATTCCCCACGAGGACCACGGAGCGAGGCCTCTCGGGGTGGGCGCTCATCCTCTTTCGACTCCCAGAGAAGAGACGCACCAGCTTGGAAGGGCTGAGCTTGGCTTCTGCGACTTCGGGGTCACAGCCGGGACCATTTTTGCAGCCTCCATTCTGACACACTGAGGAGGTCACCATTTTGGGGGCATTCGAGTTGGAGGCAGAACAAGTGGCATCTTGCCTATGGCCATCCTGGGCTGTTGTCATGTTCTTGGGGTGAGCCACTGGTGGCCACAGGGAAGCCTGGTTCAGACCCCCATGCACACCCGTATCTGGAGGCCCCACCTCCAGACCATTTCCAAGGATGCCAGCCTGACTCTCACATCTGCTGTGTACATCGGGCTCTGTTGTCACAGCCACTGCCTGCAGCAGAAAACAGAGCAAGCATTTAATCACTGTCCCTACTGAGGGCCTCTACAATCGGAGGTTAATCATTCAAAGTAGCAATTCCTAATATAAGAAAAAGGTAAGCCCCATGGCAAGACTGATTAAGAATGACTTTTAAATTAAAATTTTACTTTTTATCAAAATAACAATGGGAAGAATGTAAATATATATTCCCGAATTAAGTAGGTTTTGAAAAACAGCCAAAATAAGGCCCTTTGCATCCCTGTGCTACACAGCCACCAGCTTCCTGGGGCCAGCATCTTTCCTGGGTAAGTTCAGTGGTGCCCACCAAAGGCCTTGACTCCCCCAGCCTCATTCACCCTCCCAGCTCCCCCACCCCATTTCTCCTCCTAGCCTGGGCATTGGCTCATTTCTTATCTTGGCACCCTAGACCTCTGGATTGACTTCTTGGCCCAGACTCCCTACTGCTTCCTGATCCTTTGCATCCAAAACAACCCAATTCCTCCCTGTAGTCCCTGGGAGCCTTTGGGGACCTTCCTGCTCCCACTCCCTTTGCATTCCTGGGCAGCCCAGCCCCCCACCTTCCTGGGGCCAGCATCTTTCCTGGAGGGATCCAGACCTTAGGAGAAAGCCTGAGAGCATCTGATCCTCATCTGACTTGTGCCTCTGTGGGAACTCCTGAGGACAAAAGCAATCTGGCCACTCCAATATAAAATCAAAAGAGAGAACCTGAAGCCTAGATCAACCAGCTTTTCATGCCCAACAAGTAAACCACAAAGGCACATAAAGTTTACAAAAACAAGCAGACCTAAACTCAGCAAAGGAAGGCATGAGTCTCACACAGGAATCAGAAACTACAAAAGAAATCTACATGTCAAAGTCACAGCGAAAAAAATAACAGAATGAAAAACCCAAATAATATATCCCTACCAAGTACCAAAAGTCCTGTAGAGAAGTACAATGAGAACCCCCTAGAGATAACACAAGACATGGAATTCAAAAGAACAATTATAAACATGATAAAAGAATTCAGTGAATTTAAAGAACATACAAAGAAATCAAAGAACTGAAAGAAGACAGGGGTTATAAACTTCTGAATGAATTCT